ACGGGTGAATAATAAAACTATATATATATTATATATATATAAATATTTTAAATATCTTTCATGTTCCAAATGTACAAGGATGTTTGGTCTTTAATGAAAAGCTGAATCCAGATCATTCCTCAAAATTGGGAACTGAGGACAGTGGCAGACACGTTGGTACAGTTTATTGTTTCCTCCAGAGGAGACACTGACTTACCTTGGGGAAAAGGATCTGGAGAACCTCATCCCGTTTCCCTTCTGAATCAGCTGGGATGACTGGCCTTGAGAAGGAAGGGAAGGTGGACCAGGCTCAGATCTCATGGGATGCCTCGTGGAGCCCTTGGCTGGGGCTGACCCTGGGCAGGGACTTCCCTGCAGGGCCAGACCTGTCTGCATTCTGAGACACAGCAATGGGACGGTCTGTGGAGGCAGATCTCATTGATTGAGTCCCTTCTTCCATCCCCTTGGCCTGCTCCCTGTAGGTCATCCTGCCAACTGATTTAATAGGGCTCTTTAGCCAGCTGTTGCCAACCTCATAGGGATGAGTCCCCTGTGAGAGTCTGCTTTTCTGCTGCCTGGGATGATGACTGGCAGTTTGGAGAGGCCCTTGGACCTCCTTACAGCAGCATTAGGGACCTTTGAAGACCGTGTCAGTGCAAGCCCTGCTTAGCTCATCTTACAGCGAAGAGCTAGCACCCTGATGTCCCGGGGTGGCTGGGCAGGAGTGGTGTGGGGCTGATACCCAGATCCCTTCAGCCACCAGCTTCCCCTGGCCTGTGCCTTCCAACCCATCAGCCATTTCTTGTGCCCCTTTCTTGACAATTGTATTGCGATGGCATGGACAGCCTGCAAGTGGCTCAGGGAGTGGTGAATAGAGGCAGATCAGGACTCGGCAACAGAAATGGTTTCCCATAACCATTGTCTGAGTCTGATTTTCGCCAGTGCTGTTTTGTGGTTTTATGGTAGTGACAGTTTTCAGTGCTGCCAGTTTCCCAAAAAGTAATCAAGCCTCTGGTCACGTGGCTGTCGATACAGGCATGCTTCAGTGGTGTTCAGCCAAGCGGCCTGGGCAGAATTGGGCTGTGGAATTGTCAGGAATCCACTTCCAGGTTTGGATGTAACTTTTGCTCTAGAGAGAAGCAAGTGGTGGAGAAGAGGTAGCATCGTGTGGTGCACGGGGTTTCCTTGCTGCTGTCACCTCTCCACTCATGGAAATGAAGCCTTAGCCAGGAGGCTAGGCTCAGCCCTGTGCCACTCACTGAAGCCACTCTGCAGGCCAGCAGGGGCTTGTTTCAGGCTGTGGGTTTTGGTGTGGCTTGTCGGAGGCTAATTCTGCAGAGTTCCCAAAACCAGAAGTCATCGTATGTTTGGGATGGGGACTGTGCCACCCCTGGGAATGCTGCCCGCTCTCTGCAGAGACTGCTGCTAGAGCCAGCAACTCCACTCCGGTGGATTTTCATCAGAGGCCTGCAGGGGCCTCCCTTTTCCCGTCGTTCCTGTGCTGCATGACTGACGTTTGACTCCTTGACTCCAAGATACCGAGACCAAAGAAGCTGCTGTTCTTAGCAAGATGCGCACTGCCTTCCGCAGACGGGAGGAGTCGGAGAGGCAGAGGCTTGCTTCTCGGCCTCTCAGATAACAGTTGCCGGCGCCTCAGGCCCCAGAGTGGCTCACCCTGTCCAGATCTTTGAGGATATCAAAGAACAGAGTGCCCAAGTCTTTCCTACCTTGGGGGAACCTGGGACTTGGAAAGGCTCCCTGTCCTAGTCTTGATGCATTCTGGGCCAGGTCCCAACTTGAGCTGCCTCTGAGAATTGGGCTGCGCGATCTCTGGAGTGAGCTCTGTTTCGGTTGACCCAGGTCATGGAATGGAAATGATGAGGCCCCAGTGGCTGTTCTGGAAGAAAGAAAGAAAAATCTCCTGGCAAGGCCCCAGCGTCTCCCTCACCAAAACCAGGTGCCCTGCTCCTTGGACTCTGCTTTATCTTATGGTGAAGACCCTGCCCAGGTATGCAGGGGTTGGCTCAAGCTGCTTGCTGCCTGTCTCGTTTTTTGTCCCAATAGGGACAAAAAGGCAGGAAGCCGTGCGTTCTTCATTCGACCCCTTCTGGGACTTCAGGCCAGAGAGCTCAGAGAGCATCATCCCAGAGTCAGGGCCTTCCCGCAGGAGCCCTGCAGTGTGACTGGCTTGAATCAAGCAAAGGAAGGACCCTGAGGCTTTCACACTGACCCTCCTCGAGGAGCCACTGTAGGAAGGCCCTCCCCGGGCCTGGCCCCCACCCTCTGCCACCCAGTCCTCCCAGCTGCCATGTTTTGAAGATGACCTTTACCTCCTGCCTTTGGATTGACTCTGCATTTGACCACAGACTCCAGTCTGTGTGTAGGGAGAGAGCTGATAGGAGGCCTCTGCTCCAGCTTGAGGCCTGCATCAGCTTGTTTCCCCACACATGCCTGTTTCTGAAGAGGCTCCTGTCTTATCTGAAGGCTGGCCCACACCCAGCTACTTGAACACCAGGTTTATGGAAAATGTCAGGCCTTCCCCACAACTCCCGTCTAACTGCCATTGCCCCCCTGCTTGCTGGCTCTCGGAAGCCCAGGGGAGTCCCTGTGGTCCTGAATTCTTTCCCCAAGGATGACCAGCATTTAACCAACCTGAGGGCCCAAGGCCCTTGGAGAGCTGCATGGAGCTGCAGTCTAGGAGAGGGAGGGGGACCAGATGTCAGATCAGGGGAGGGGCAGGAGTGTCCCCCAACAATGCCTACCCACCTGTGAGGCAGCCTTTGACGGCCTAGCCCACCTTCCCCAGAATCAGGGGAGGCCTGAGGCTTCAGTTTTGCTTTGCTGCAAAATGAAGCGGGAAGCCAGCTGCACCCAGGGAGGCTGTTTAGGACAATTCAGTTAAAAAATACTGACTGGCAGGCAGGTGCCACGTCTGGGAACAGGAAAGGGGGAGTTTCATCTTTTTGTCTTGGCTTTTCTTTGGGCTATGGGGGGGCATCCATTTCCAGGGTTGGGGAGGAAATACCAAATGCATTGTTCTGCTCAATACATCTCACTTGTTTCTAATAAAGGAAGCAGCTGAACAAACCTTTCTGTCCTCCTGGTATTCCTGGTCAGCAGGTGGCAGTAGAAGAGACGGAGTGCTGGGGCTTGGGCGACAGCCAGGACAGCAGGGCCCAGCCACCAAGGCCCTCAAGCCCACAGCACCAGGCCGGCTTCCAAAGGCCTTCCTTTGGCAAGGCTGCCCTTCTCCAGGGCATACTTGGTATTGTCAGACCTTTCCCACCCGCCAAAGAGGAGCTGGTATTGACCCAGGTTCCCGCCCAAGTTAGAGCAGCAGCCAGGCTTTCAGCCAGCACCCGAGCACCTCGGCACAGGAGCTGGCCCAGCTTTCCCACATAGGCACAGAGCAGCCCCCTCAGTCCAAGTCAGCAGTGGCTCCTCGGTGGGGGTGCAGGCGCTGCGCCTTCCCACTGTGCCCAGGTGCCGTGTCTCTCCTGTGCCACTGGCCGGGTGGTCCAGGGGTACATTTTAACATGGCAAGTTGCTGGGTCCCAGTAGCTGTGTTGAAGACTTCCCATTCCCCCTGTTCTTATCCTCCGGAACTTATCCATTCCCTGGCCCGTGCCTCTAAGCCCTTTTCCAGGGAAGCTGAGAGGACACAGGGCCTGCCTGACCCCTCTTAGGCCCCCTAACCCTCCTACACCAAACCAAGTCACTTGGGCCCCTGTGGCTTATGCCTTCTTTCCCGTCCTTAGCTTTGGGCTTAGAGAACATAGCCCTATGTGTGGTTTCTATCCATAGGCCTCCGGGGTTAAAAGCTATGATTTCTGCCTTGCTTCCGCCTCCCAGTTCACTTCCTTAAAGACTCTTGCCCTTGCAAGGCAGTCTTCCCAGCACTGGGCCCTCATCCTAGCCTTCGGCCCTTCCTCTCAGTACCAGATACCAAACCAGAGAAGCCAAACAGGATGGGGACTCAGCCCTGGGTCTGGGGCTCACGTGACCCAGACCCCCCAACCAGGCCTTGCAGGGGTCAGGCAACACTAACAACTCTTGACTCTTCATTTGCTGAACTGGACTTCACCTGGTAGCACCTCCCACCCTGGGGCTGCAGTTTGGCAGCCTGACAGCCGAGTGCTAGGTGCCTATACTGCATGGCCCAGCCCATTTCTTCTGGGCCCTTTTGATGCTGATTATTCTCTTTCAGACACACACGTTCATGAGACCCAGACGCCCCTCCCAGCATGAAGGAGCGGGAGATGCTGCCACTTTCCACAGTGGTTCTTGGAGTTGCTGGAAGGTGGAGTCTGCCCCAGCCCTGTGTTTTAGTTTCTCTGGGGCTTGGGGGCAATTCAAGGCCTATCCCAGCCCAGTTCCAGGCCACCCTCTGGGGACGGGACTAATGTCACGTTCTGCCCTTATCCAGTGTCAGCACTGTTGTCTGGTGGGACCTAAAACTCCAGGCCTCCATGTTGTCAGTCTGCTGTCAGGGTGGATGCAGGATTGTCTCCAGATTCTGTCATCTGGTGTGCAGTGCACTCTCCCAGTGTTTCCATAGAGGCCTATAGCATTTCTATAATGAAGCGTTTCCAACCTTCATGTAAGAGACTGGCCAGCTGGGGGAAAGGAAGCCCATGTCCTTGGGATTTGCCCTACTGAGCAGACAGGGGCCTTGAACGCTAAGCCTGGAGAGTGGCAATCTGTCTGAGGGTCCCTCAGACTCCTGTCCCTTCCTCATTCAAGGTCCCTCGTGTGTGTGTGTGCGCGTATGTGTGTGTGTGTGTGTGTGTGTTGGGAGGAGGCACTGACCTGGACTGGCATCCTCAGTCTTGTGATACAGCAGCTTTAAGCCAGGAGAAGGGGTCAGGCTATTTTGAGCTGTGGCATCTCCTGCAGCTACCCTCTGGCTTAGACAAGTCTACACCTTGCTGAGGAAGAGGCCCAAGGGACTCATCCAGCGCTGTCCCTCCTCATGGGCCTGTGGGGGTGGCAGCATAGAGGTGTTCAGGGAGTGCTCAGGGTAAAATAAACGTGCTTCTTTATTTTTTAAATAGATAGGCTCCTTCTACTCTCTTCTCCAGGGCTCTTCTATGACAGTTACAAACCTACTGCCAGGCCAGGCAGTGTCTCACGCCTGTAAATCCCAGCACTTTGGGAGGCTGGGGCAGGAGAATCACTTGAGGTCAAGAGCTCGATACTAGCCTGGGCAACATAGGGAGACTCCCCTGTCTCTACATAAAATTTTAAAATTAGCCAAGTGTGGTGGCCTGCTCCTGTAGTCCCAGCTACTCAGGAGGCTGAGATGGGAGGATCGCTTGAGCCTGGGAGTTCAAGGCTGCAGTGAGCCGTGACTGCAACACTGCACACCAGCCTGGGTGACAAAGCAAGAACCTGTCTCAAAAAATAAAAACCAAAACCTACTACCAGATTCTCCAGGACTCCATGCCTCAGCGCCCCCTTCTTGCTTTAAGAAGGAAGGGGGGCCAGGCTCGGTGGCTCACACCTGTAATCCAAACACTTTGGAGGCCAAGGTGGGCGGATCACCTGAGGTCGGGAGTTCAAGACCAGCCTGACCAACATGGTGAAACCCCATCTTATTTAAAAAAAAAAAAAAAAAAAAAAAAAAAAGGGAAGGGGAGCGCAGGTTCTGGAGCTGAAGGGAGTAGTCCAGAAGGCCTGGGGCAAAGGAGGGCTCGGGGACCGGCTAAGCCCGGGTTGGGGCTAAGTGGGGTGCCTGCGCTCCTCTGGGGGAAGGAGGCTGGGATGGCCCACTGGAGGACAGAGAGGGACCAAGGGTCCATAGGTGTCCTGCCTCCCCAAGTCTCCTGGCAGCAACAGGCTTGGCTCTTCATAAGTCACAATGAGGACAAGAAGAGCTAGGCCATCTCAGGGCCCACTGAAGGGCTGGAGCTCACTGAAGTCACACGAGCACCTTTCTATTCTTCAGGAGGGGCCCAGGCAGCCCTCAGCACCCAGGTGAGACCAGCGCCTGGTGAGTGGGCTGAGTGGGCCAAGTGGGCGGGCTGGGGGCTGGCACTCCCACCACCCGACTCCAGAGGAGGAGAGGGCTCTGCAGGGTACATGGACTGGCACTCGTGGAACCCCAGGGCAGGTGAGCCGGGCCCTCAGGAGCGCTGGATGCAGATGTGGACAAAGAGCGTGGCTGGTGACAGTGAGGCCCCGTCCTTGGAAAGCAGGTGTATGTGGCGGTACCCTGTGGGGAGGACAACCAGGCCTCAGGTCCTCTGCCCACCCTGGGGGTCTGGCCCAGCCCAGCCTGGTTCAGGGCAGGAAATTCGAGGCACAAAGGTGAACAGGGTCTGCGGGGCCTGGACCCACATCCCTCTCCATCCCCACCGGCCTCCACCAACCTTGCTTGAGGCTGCTAAGAGGCAGTGTAAACTGGCCCACGAAGTCATTGGGGGAGGTGGCGTCATAATCTTCCACCACAAACCGGACCAGCGCCAGCTCCGGAGCCCGAAGCTGGAACTGCAGGGTCTGCCCCCAGCGGGGGTTGAAGCCTAGAGCACAGGGGTGGCAATCAGAGCCCAGGGGGCCCCAGGACCCACCCTGCACCCCGCTTCCACCCATGGCCACCCACCGTTGTTGAGCACGTAGTCTGTCTCCTGCCGGGTGCAGTCTGCGGGCACCCCATGGATCTCAACGCGCACCAGGGGGTCCACGATGGAGTGTGGCTTCTCGGCGTTCAGCTTGGGCAGCTGCTGTGCAGTCAGCACCTGTGGGGTGAGGAAGGGAGTGGCTGGGGCCCACACCCACCTTGGCCATCCCCTCATGGGCCTCAAGCTCAGACCACCCCCCAATCCCATCCTGTCCCCAACCTCCCTTGCCTTCCTCCACCTCACAAAGGGTCCAGAACCAGTCTGACCCCAGGCTGGGGCCCAGTCCAGCCTGCTGACCTGGATGCTGAGAGTGGTTCTGGGAGGTCCTGGGTACTCAGGGTCAAAGGTTGAGTCAGGTTGCCGAAGGTAGGCAGGTTTCAGGACATAGCCACACTGTCCGTTGACCAGGAAGCGTCCGGCATTAAGGTCCATCTCGTATCCTGGTGTCTGGAAGTTCAAGGCCACTGTGGACACAGCAGGATCAGAGCAGGGCTCATAGCAGCCCTGTCCTCACTACTCAGTTTGAGGGGACTGCATTTCTCTCTACAAAGGGCCTGGGGTCCCATTGTTAGCTTAGTGCTGCTCTGCCCCTACTTGACTTCAGGGGAGTGGGTCAAGGACCCAGCCCCCACTGTCACCTGTATCTCTGCCCTGGGATCCCTCAAGGCTGGGGTGGGAGGTGCTGAAATAGCCCCCAACCTCAGGGCCATGCTTGGATCAGGGGTCTGAGGAAGTCTGGGATTTCCAGCCTCACCCCCAGGAGACGATACGGCCCTCCGTTGGTGGGGCTCAGTGTCTCCCAGAGCTTGCCCTCATTGGTGTTGAGTTAGTGGGACTGCCAGGTGTGTGTGGGGGTGTGTGTGTGTGTGTGTGTGTGTGTCCGGGGGATATGGGAGTGGAGGTTTTAATTTCTACCATCATAAAAATGCGAGACTTGTACACTGTCAAGAACAAACGAGCCTGATTTGCTTTTCCCACCTACATTGCTGGCAACTTTAAAAATAATCAACAAAATGCATGTTTCCACTGACTGGAAGGCTGTGTGGGCCCCTGACTGCCAAGGCCTCCCCCACACTGCGGCACCCTGCCTGCTCCCGCTCCCGCTCCCGCTCCTGTGGCCCCAACTTACCCAGCTGACAGCCCGAGTTCCACATCTCCTGGGGGCTGTAGTTGGCCGAGTTCATCCGCAGCCCCAGCGGGTACACGCGGGTCAGCTGGCGGGTATTGTGCCTGACAAAGCTGTTCCCTGGGGCAGAGTTGGGGTGAGACTGTGACAGACCCCAGAGGTTCCTCACCCAAAGCCCAGGCCTGTAACCTCCAGGGAACAGAGGCCAAGGCCATCCCCAGCTTGCCCTGCCCCTGCTCCCCATTCTCCTCTGACCTACGGTGAGAGGGAAGCTCACTGTGGAGACTGTGGGGACCCCTCCAGCCACACAGCCTGGCCCCACATCCCCAGCCCCCAATTCCCTGTTACTGATGTTCACTGAATGCCTGCAGCCCTCCAGCTCCACCGGGGTTCCTGAAACTCCCCTCAGGTCATGCCTCCAGGCTTTCAACAACCTTTTCCTCCTGTCTGGAAACCCCTCCCCCTCTTCACCTGGCTGCTTCCTCTTCCTCCAGATGATGTGTCCTCTCAGCATCACCTGCCCCAGGAACCCCTCCCCAATGTCACACCTGCTGCTAGGCTCCCCCAGGCCCCAGTCTGGCCTGACCCATCACCCTCTATGGCCCGCCCCACCACGGGGCTCTGAAGGCAGACAGCAGGCCACCCGAAGCTTGCCACTCTCCCCTCCGTCCACCCTGGAAATGTGCAGGGCCCTCATTCCCTCAGCCCAGCCCCTCTCTGCGGTCCTCTTGACTTCTTTTTCTTTTTTTTTGAGATGGAGTTTTGCTCTTGTTGCCCAGGCTGGAGTGCAATGGTGTGATCTCAGCTCTCGCCAAAACCTCTGACTCCAGAGTTCAAGCAATTCTCCTGCCTTGGCCTCTTGTGTAGCTGGGATTATAGGCTCGCACCACCACACCCAGTTAATTTTTGTATTTTTAGTAGAGAATGGGTTTCTCCATGTGGTCAGGCTGGTCTCAAACTCCCGACCTCAGGTGATCTGCCCGCCTTGGCATCCCAAAGTTAATTTTGTATTTTTAGTGAAGATGGGGTTTCTCCATGTGGTCAGGCTGGTCTTGATCCTGACCTCAGGTGATCCACCCATCTCGGCCTCCCAAAGTGTTGCGATTACGGGCATGAGCCATTGTGCCCAGCCTTGATTCTTTACTGTCCCCTAAAGCCCCTCAACTCCTTTTCCAGACCCACTTCAGGAGGCGTCCCCAGCACCGTGTCGCCCCAGACACCCAGTGCCCTGGCTCCTACCTGCCTCCCGGATTAGTTTCTTGGCTTTTCGCTCGCTGAGGGAGCTGACCTGGCAGGGCTGGGGGGCGCCGGGAGCAGGGTACAGGGTCCGCAGGCGGGTGGCCTGGCAGTACACGGCCAGGGCCGACAGCTCCAGGGAGATCTGCTTGGCCTGGGAGACCAGACCAGCCTCATCAGGGCTCAGCGGGCCCCATTCCCCTCACCTGTCCTCCCACCTTCCACCACTCCCCTCCACCACCCCAGCCCACCAGCTCTCACCAGCCGTCTCTGCGCTGCAGCCTCTGCCTCCTCTTCTTCTTCCTCCTCCTCCTCCTCCTCCTCTTCCTCCTCCCGGTCCGACAGAGCCCGGCCATCCTCACTCCGAGCAGCCGGCAGCTTCTTCCCCTTCACCAGGACCCGGCCCTTCAGCTGCTGTGGGGGCCAACGTGGAGGGTGAAGGGTTAGGCTTTCTTGCCCTTGGGGCAGTGAGTGGGCCAGTCAGTTATTCAACCACCACCATGTGAGGGGTTGGTTGGGGGTAGGAGACAGGAAAGGAGACACATAGATGAGGGATGTTTCCAATAGCAAAGAGTGGAGAACGGCCTAGGAGGCTACTGGGAAGGGAGGGATGGTTCCTAAGGTCCCTCAACACCAGAATATACGCAGCAGCCACTAAAATGCCCGAGACAACTCAGGACTGAAAGGGAAGGGGCCCTCTTCAGAAAAGATCTTAGGCGAAGAAGTGAGGCTACAACCTGTAATCACAGGACCCTGTGATTACATTTAAAAGAGAAGACAGTACACATCCGTTCATAGGTAATGTGCGTGGGGAGATTCCCAAAGGACATGCAAGAAAGCTGGAGCTTGTAAAAGAGAACAGGTCAGCGGCGGGGGTGGGGGGGGAGCACTTTCATTGCAGCCCCTGGTACAGCTCAGTTTTCTTTTATGGGTGTGATTTTCACACTAATAACAGAAAGCACGTCTCACACACACAAGAAAGTGAGTCAACCCTGCCTGCACACTGGGGATTGAGAGTAGGAGGAGAGTTTTCTCAAGGAGCCCAAAAAGAATCAATGTCCTAAGAGGGCAGAGGACGCGCTCTGGGGTCTGGGGGACAGGAGGAGGCCTCCTCTGGCCCGAGAGCTGGGGAAGTGCATGAGGTCACAGGAAGAGGCAGTGGCAGCTGAGCTGAATTCTAAGCAGGTGATGCTTGGCAAGTGTGGATGGCCAGGAAGGAACTTCCAGGTAGAGAAAGCGTCAACCCAGATCTTGCAGGCGGGAATGGCAGAACCTGCAGGACTCTCCAGGCAGGGACACAGGGCAGGCAGGGCAGAGCCAGGTCACAGAAGAGGGTGTGTGTGGGGGGCATCTAGTGAAGAATGGAGAGCCAGAGGGCAGCAGAGGGACAAGACCAGGGGACGACAGACGAACGAAGAATGGAGAAAGATTAAGGCAGTGGGAGGCGAGGGGTTTTGAGCAGGAGAGGTGGCACGAGCAGGGGTGGGAGGTGGACCCCACCAGACCCTCCCTCCACCCAGGCTAAAGGCTGGGGCATAACCTCTGGGGATGGCAGCTCCTCAGGATTCGGGGAGTCCAGGGCCTGAGTCACCAGCATATCCCCCAGGATGGTGCGGAGGTGGTGGGCCATGGCAGCCTGCTGCTCCAGCCCGCAGTGGTTCTCCAGGGATAGGATGACAGGGTAGGGGGACAGCTGGGGAGGGAAGAGCAGCTGCTCAGAGCCACTCTCCTCCCTCTGCCAGTACCTCCCAACACCTGGCTCCCAGACCCTTCAGGACAGGCAGGCAAAGGCAGGGCTCTGAAGAACCCAGGGAAGGAGTAGACTCTCCGGGAGGCTGAGGGTGGCTGCAGGAATGATTTATTTTTATTTTTTGAGATGCAGTATCACTCTGTAATCCAGGCTGGGGTGCAGTGGTGCAATCTCAGCTCACTGCAACCTCTGTCTCCCGGGTTCAAGCGATTCTCCCACCTCAGCCTCCTGAGTAGCTGGGATTATAGGCACCCATCACTACCCCTGGCTAATTTTTTTATTTTTAGTAGAGATGGGGTTTCACCATGTTGGCCAGGCTGGTCTCGAACTGCTGACCTCAGGTGATCCACCCACCTTGGCCTCCCAAAGTGCTGGGATTACAGGTGTGAGCCACCATGCCCAGCTGATTTTTTTTTTGAGACAGAGTCTCATACTGTCGGCCGGGCTGGCGTGCAACGGCACACTCTCAGCTCACTGCAACTGCCTACTCCTGGTTCAAGTGATTCTCCTGCCTCAGCCTCCCAAGTAGTTGGGATTACAGGCACCCGCCACCATTGTCAGTTAATTTTTTGTATTTTTAGTAGAGATGGGGTTTCACCGTGTTGGCCAGGCTGGTCTCACACTCCTGACCTTGTGATCTGCCTGCCTCAGCCTCCCAACGTGCTGGGATTACAGGCATGAACCACCGTGCCCAGCTGATTTTTTAAAATTTAATTTAATTTTTTTTGAGATGGAGTCTCACTCTGTCACCAGGCTGGAGTGCAGTGGCACAATCTTGGTTCACTGAAACCTCTAGCTCCCCGGTTCGAGCTATTCTCCTCTCGCTCTGTAGTCAGGCTGAAGTGCAGTGGTGCAATCAGTCTCCCTGCATCCTCCAATCCTGGGCTCAAGTAATCCTCCCACTTCAGCCTCCTCAGCAACTCAGCCTACAGGCAAATGCCCCCACGCAGCTAATTTTTATTTTTGTTGAGGCAGGATGTCGCTATTTGCTCATTCCTGGCCTGAAGTGATCCTTGTGTCAGCCTCCCAGAGTGCTGGGAATACAGGTGTGAGCCACCTCATCTGCCCCAGAAATGCTCTTTACATGTGAATAACATCGACCGTGTTCAGTTATGCTGAAAACCCTCCTCCCCTCATTTGCGAATGGTAAGATTTGCACACTGTGACCGAAGTTGCAATGTTTTTGCAGATGTCACTGTTGAGCTTCTCTTGCGACTGATTTATTCTTTGGAAATCATGATTAAAGTGTCCTTCCCTTCCCCCAAGGTTTTCTTCTAAAAACGGTGATTTTAAGACCTTTCCCAAATATGAGAGTGCAAGCATATTTCCCAAATAAAAGGCAGCAGCTCATTCTGCTCAGTCCACCCTAGTGGCCACTTATCCCAGCAGCACCAAGTGAATGAATGATTCTCTAGGCAAGGGTTTCCTCTAGAAGGACTGAGGGCAGCTGGCATGTGGGTGCAGAACGGGGTCATTGGGAAGGCTCTGGGGCTGGGGATCCCAGGGGCTCACCGTGAAGGCGTGGTCACGCACAGCTTGGATCACATCCCGGAAGAGAATCTTGGAGGTGAGGGTATGGCCATGGTAGATGATGGGCTCCCCTCCTGGCCCCTCCCAGCAGTCCAGCTCCACGCAGCGGCATCCCTGGGCAAAGGCCCTGTGGATGGACAGATGGGTGGATGGGCAAGGTGTCACGTGAGTGCCACAGAGAAGGGCAGCAGGCAGGCTGAACCAGGAAGGCCCCAGGAAGCCAGCCTCATGTCCCTCTCCAAGCGGGCTCCCGGCCACATTCATCCCCCACTACAGTACCTAACGTAGGCCTCAGTGCTGCTGAGCCCCCCGATCTGGGAGTCGGTCAGATAGGTGTTGTGGGAGGAGGAGATGAAGTAGTGGGCGAGGGGCTGGTTCATGTCCTGGAACACACATGTGTGGCCAGGGTCCAGGGCAGCCCCCTCCGGCGACAACAGGTACATCATGAAGCCATCCAGTGTCATCAGCTCATGCTGCTTGGCTGCAGGGGTGGCAGGAGAGGGCATCCGGCCAGATGGGGATCCCCCATGTCCAGCTTCAAATGCCCCCAAGGCCCACTCAGGAATAACGACTAGTCATTATTATCTACTGACTAGACTCCACGTGCCACTTAACCTCCGACCAGACCCTGGAACGAAGACACACTGTTGTGCCATTTTACAGATTTGGAAGCTGAGTCTGGAGGAGGCGAGATAACCTGCCCGAGACAGTGCCCACAGCCAGCCCACAGCAGAACCCACTGAGCTGGGAACACGGCCCTGTCAGGTGCCACGACCTGGCCGTGCTGCCCCCCACCTGTCTCATTGAGCTCGTAGATCTGGATGAGCTGCTGGGCGCGGGCCAGCGTGGCACCCTCCTCGCCCTGGTCCTCCAGGAACTCCAGCAGCTCAGGGGCACTCAGAACGCGGTCCTCACCGGAGTACTGATGGAAGATGTCCTCCAGCTCGGGCCGCTTCAGCAGCCGCCGCAGGAACTCCTCGATCTCAGCCCCCTCCAGACGCTCGTTTTTGGAGTGGTCGCACTCCTGGGGAGCAGCGGGAGAAGCTCAGAGAAGGCGGACACTCCAGGAAACCTGGCCCCTTAGACCCATCTGTCATCTACCACATCTGAGGAGGCAATGTTCCCGTGGCACAGGTGGAAAAGCAGAGTCAGACTATGACTCCAGCTCACACAGTTGGGAAACTGCAGGGTGGGATTTTTTGGGTTTTGGTTTTTGGTTTGGTTGTTTTTGGTCTTCCTCTATGATTCAGGCTGGAGCACAGTGGCCTGATGATAGCTCACTGCAGCCTCCCTCCTCAGCCTTCCAAATCACTGGACAGCAGGGACTGCAGATAGGCACCACTGCACCTGGCTGATTTTTTGTATTTTTTGTAGAGATGGGGTCTCGCTGTGATGCCCGAGCTGATCTCAAACTCCTGGCTTTAAGCAATCCTCCCACCTAGGCATCCCAAAGTGCTAGGATGCAAGGGCGAGCCACTGAGCCTGGCCTGCAGAGCTGGACTTTAAGGAACATCTCTCGGGTTCACTGTCTGCCCCTCTGCGCCAAGACCTACACCAAAAATCAAGTTATAGGAGGAAAAATGGTGACCATGGGCCAAGACAGGGCCCTCATACTCTCCCAGGTGGACATAGTACTATCCTGACACGCACGCAGTCACACCCAGGGTCACTGAGAACAAGCCAATGAGAATTCATGGAGTACCCTGTGAAGCTGTGGCCAGGGGTCCAGCTGCCATGGGCTCTCCTGTCTTTTGGGGTCACAGGGGGTCCCACAGTCCACATGCACATGGGTCTGCCATGTGCTCCAGTGGGCCCTCGCTGCCAAGCCCACTCTTGTGTGCCCCGTGCTCCCATGCATGAGGTGTCCACCTGTGCCGCAGAGGAGGGTCACAGAGAAGGGTGCAGGTGTATCTGTGCCCATGCATGCCGCAGGCTGCCTCCTGACTTGTGCACCCACATGCAAAAGGTGCCCCGCAGACTCGGGGAAATGAAAACAGCTTTGCAGCTCACTTTGGAGGGGTGGGAAGGTACGACCCCACCCCTGGGCTCTGACTGAGGGTGACAAAAGTTCTGGGCTCTGGCTCCCCACTCCCTGCCTGGCCCAGTGGCCTCAGGAGAGGCAAAAGGATAACTAAACCCAGGTGTTGCCTTTGTGCAAGGAGAAGCTACTATCTCCAAGAAAGCTGCAGGTGGAGAATGACTTGGACGGTGGGGGGCAGGCAGAGGTCAGAGTGACGGCAGAGCCAGGGGCCGGGGTTCAGGGTGGAAGCCCACCTTGAAGAGGAGGTAGGCGTACATGTCATTCATGTCGACGTTGACCATTCGGAGCAGGCTCTTGATCTCCTTGAAGCTCATCTTGCTGTCCTGGTTGGAGTCAGCTCGGTGCAGGTAGGTGTGGATCCAGGTGTGGCTGCTCAGGAAATACCAGCAACATGCCAGGCTCTCACGCACCCACCCACCCTCCCCCAGGTAAGGCACCCCCACCTGGGTCTGGAGGCTCCCGGAGCACAGTAGCAGTGTCTCCTCCGCGGGCCTGGGGCTCCCCAAAGAAAGGAAGCCCTGTCTCCACCCTCAGAAGGCGTCAGGCCTCCCTGAAGGAGGAGCCGCGCCACCTTTCCTGGTGGGAGCTTGGGCCTGGCCAGGGCGCGTGTCCCCACCCTCAGTTCCAAAGACCAAGGGTTCCGACCTAGACTGTGTGCCCTCAGGACAGAGCCCTGACTTCCCCGGGCCTGGGGGCTCTCCAAGGATGGGGCTCACCCTCCCAGCCCCAGCAGGATATTGGTCCAGCCGCTCGCGCTGGCTCATGGCGTCCAGGCGCGCGCGGAGCTTGGCCAGGCCGCGCACCCAGCGCTGCGCCTCTTCTGCCGTGGGCGCCGCCAGGTCCAGGTTCTTGCGGCGGCCCTTGAAGGCGATGGTGAGGCAGCGCGCCGGCGCGAAGGCGCTCCCGAAGCGCCGCAGGCCCTCGGACTGGTGGCCCTCCCGGACGGCCTCGATGTGCTGCACGAAGACTGCGGGGAGGGCCGATCAGGGCGACGGAGAACCGGGCCTGTCTCCGCCTCCCCACCCGCCCGGCGCCCCCCGGCGGCTCACAAATGTGCTGCGACGGCGCGCGCGGGATGCGCCGCTGGAACCACACGGTCAGGCCGTCCTCCTGCAGCCGGTACAGCCGCTCCTTCTGCCACGTGCGCGAGCGGATCTTGCGGAGCCTGGAGCCCCGCAGCATGGCGCGCACGTCCTCGTCCTCAGTCAAGCCTGCCGGGGGCGGGAGGACCCGGGGTGTCAGCCCATCCCTGCCCGGAGGCTCCCCCGCCCTACCCTAGGACCTGCTGCCCCATCCCTCAGCCTCTCCAAACCCAGGCCTTCGCCCCACAGTGAGCTTCCTGCCCCTCACAGACTTCCCCTCCTCCCCTATTGTAAGAAGCCTCCAGCACTGCGTTTGGCTTTGGGGTTTGGGGCCCTAAGCGCCCCCCGCCCCCAGTCCCCACCGGGATCCTATCTCCGTCCTTCCAAGCAGCAGCCCTGCAGTCCCTCAGCCTGGAACTGCTCTCAGGTAGTGCCTGGGACTCAGGCCTCACTAAAGGTTGCCCTTTCTGGTCAGGCGCGGTGGCTCACGCCTGTAATCTCAGGACTTGGGAGGCCAAGGAGGGCGGATCACTTTAGGTCAGGAGTTAGAGACCAGCCTGGCCAACATGGTAAAACCCTGTCTCTACTAAAAATACAAAAATTAACTGGATATGGTAGCACGAAGCTGTAATCTCAGCTACTTGGGAGGCAGAGGCAGGAGAATCGCTTGAACCTGAGAGGCGGAGGTTGCAGTAAGCTGAGATCATGCCACTGCACTCCAGCCTGGGTGACAGAGCAAGACTCCATCTCAAAAAAAAAAAAAAAAAAAAAAAAACTTTGGGCAGCCGACATGGGCAGATCATGAGGTCAGGAGTTCTAGACCAGACTGACCAACATGGTGAAACCCCATCTCTACTAAAAATACAAAAATTAGCTGGGTGTGGTGGGGCATGACTGTAATCCCAGCCACTCAGGAGGGTGAAGCAGGAGAATCGCTTGAACCCTGGAGGTGGAGGTTGCAGTGAGCCAAAATGGCACCACTGCACTCCAGCCTGGGCAACAGAGTGAGACTCCATCTCAAAAAAAAAGTTGCCTTTTCTGCCACTATCCCCCACAACATGACTTCCAACCTTCAAGTCCAGAATTTGCCTCCAAGAGTCTTTTTCCTTGATGTGAAACCGCAGCCATCAGGAAGGTCTCACCATCTAACCTAGATCTCTTTTCCTGCAACCCAAGCACCTTGGCTCTGCTTTCCCAAAGACAAGGAGGGCAGCAGAGCCCACCCTGGCTCCAAGGTCACAGGCTGAGGTCTCCAGGACCAGCCCTGCCCGGCTGATCTCCAGGTGTCCTCTTTGTACCTGGTGGGGCCCTGCCAAAAGGAAGGTCTCCTGTGACATTTGGTGCTCCCTCTTGCCCAGCCAATGCCACCCACCACACGGCCCGTCAGCCCACATGCACTCTCCAGCCACAGTGTCCACCTTCCTTAATAAAAGCAAATGTTGCCAGGCGCAGTGGCTCATGCCTGTAATCCCACAGAGGTCAAGATGGGAGGATCACTTGAAGCCAGGAACTACAGAAGAACCTGGGCAACAATCTGAGACCCTGTCTCTAAAAAAATTTTAAAAACTGGCTGTGAGTGGTTGCTCATGCTTGTAATCCCAGCACTTTGGGAGGCCAAGGTGGGCAGATCACTTGAGGACAATAGTTCAAGACCAGCATGGCCTACATTGCAAAACCTCATCTCTACTAAAAATACAAAAAAATTAGCTGGGCGTGGTGGCATGCGCCTATAATCCCAACTACTCGGGAGGCTGAGGCACGAGAATCACTTGAATCCAGGAGGTGGAGTTTGCAGTGAGCTGAGATTGCACCACTGCACTCCAGCCTGGGCAACAGAGTGAGACTCTGTCTCTAAAAAAATAAATAAATAAAAGCAAATGTTTACAAAGCACCTCCTGTGTGCAGGCCCTGCTCATGTATTGACAGACAAGGAAACTAAGGCTCAGGGAAGCTTAAGTAACCTGCCGGAATTCCAGAGTGGTAGAGGCTGCTCCGGACTCTGGAGGCTGGGCTCCAGCGCCTCTGCCCTTGGGCCCTGCACGCACAGCTCTTCTAGTGCTTCTAAATTCAGAAGTCTGGGAGTAAGTCTCAACTCTGTCACTTCCCAGTTATTTAATACACGGCCCAGTGGCCCTAACCTGGCACTAAGCCTCATGTTCTCCATCCATAAAATGGAGACCACAATCATACCTGCTGCAAAATCCAAAATCTAGGGGTTTCTGCAGCATGACCAACACTGTGCCCTGGAGAGGTGCCACACTCTCCTGGCTCTGGCCCCCTGAAACACGTGATGCCCAGCCCGGACGGTGCCACACCCTGCTCCACAATGCCTCAACGAGAGTCACAACCAAAGATTTTTGAGCCAGAAGACAATAGAAGAGGTGGGAACTGGGTAAATAGGGAGTCCATGGCCTTTGGAGGTGGAGCGCAGCCAGGAGCAGATGAGGGCCCAGAGTTTCCAGAGAACTGGAATCTAGATCTATGTGGGAGGCCTCCAGATTTTCTAATGTTGGCAAGTAAATCAAACTGAAAAAACAAAAACCAATAGCCCTTGTGTGGGTTGAAGGAAAGTATAACAGTGGGCCTCTCTTCCTCCCTTTATTTCGACAAGCCCCTATACTGGGTTTGGCTTTGCCACCCCAAGGCTCCTGCTTGCCCAATTGCAAACTCTGACCTAAGGAATTGAGTCTGCATTCTGGACCAACTCCTCTCACCCTCTCTTGGACCCTTTTTAGGATCCTTCTCCCTTCTCCTCTTCCTTCTATCTGAGTCCTGGAAGGACCAGTTCAGATATCACTTCCTCTAGGAAGCTTTCCTTTATTTGTCCTCAAGTGGGAGTTCTCCCTCTCTGACCACTAACAGCACTTTTTGCTTTAATTAAAATAAAACACAGGCCGGGCACGGTGGCTCACGCCTATAATCCCAGCACTTTGGGAGGCCGAGGAGGGTGGATCACAAGGTCAAGAGATGGAGACCATCCTGGCCAACAAGGTGAAACCCCGTCTCTACTAAAAATACAAAAATTAGCTGGGCATGGTGGTGCGCACCTGTAGTCCCAACTACTCGGGAGGCTGAGGCAGGAGAATTGCTTGAACCCAGGAGGCGGAGGTTGCAGTGAGCCGAGATCGCGCCATTGCACTCCAGCCTGGGTAACAATGGCGAAACTCTGCCTCAAAAATAAATAAAACACAAAACCCACCTATATATTTTAATAAACCTGAGGGCAGAATGAGGTCTTATCTCCTCATCACTTTGCTTATTCCAGAGCCAGGGTCCCAGCGAGTGTTTACTGAAGGTGCAAGCAGGTAGATGGGCAGATGGGTGACTAAGCGAATTCTACCCCCAGCCCTGCCCCATCTGTCTGGAGTTCAGGGCAGAGGCCTCGCAGGTCAGGGTTTCTCAACTTTCACTGTGCATCAGAATCACCAGGGAGAGGCTGCAGACCCCACGGCCCACGGCGTCTCACCCAGCTGGTGTGGGATGAAGCCCAGCCATCTGTATTTTTAAAACCTACTTTGACCATGACTGAAAATCAGCGTCTCGGGGGCATGAGGAGAAATCTGCCCCCTTCGAAGGCCATGACCCATCTGGGGCCAGCCTGTGATCCTAACAGCTCCAGAGGGTCCCTCAGGGTCTAGACTGTGGCCCTCTGAGTGAATGCCCACTCAGTGACCCCTGGTCAGGAAGGGGAAAATGGAACCCTCCTCTTTCCAGACAAAGGTCCAGGCAGCCTCTAAATCGTCCCATCCTGAGCAACGACAGGGTGAGGGCAGAACAGTCAAGGGGCACCTGCAGTGCTACCACACTTGGGCACACCCTCCTACACCCACTGGGCCGGCCATGGGAAAGGGGACTGCTTGTTGCCATGGCAACCAGGCTCTGCAGCCAGGGGCCGCCTTCCCTACCCAGGCCAGCCCTCTGATGCCAAGCTCATGGGTGTGGAGGTTGAGTGACTAAGGCCGGAAATGGAGGTGAGTCACCAGGGCCTGCTCTGTCCAGACCCTTCTGCAAACAGGCCATCAACACAGGCAGCCGGAACATGTGACTGGGCCCCCACTGGGGCAGGCTCCCAATGGAGGGGGCCCCAACTCCTAGTCCCTACCCTCAGCTCCCCAGGAACCTGTTCGGGGAAGGGGTGACATTCCAGGATGTCCCACACACTAGCACTGCCCCCCAACCACACACCCTGTGGAAAAGCCAAACAGAAGGAGGGTGCAGTCCCAGGCAGGGCCAGGTGCTGAGTCCCTCGGTGGGTGCCTCTGTTTCCCCACTGCTTGTGCTTCTGAACCCTGGAGAAGTTAGGGGACTGGGGTGTCCGGCAGTGGGGGGCAGGACCAACAGAGGTAAGGAGGCAAGGTCAGAGGGAGGGCAGTGACGCAGCGAGGGCTGTGGCTCTCCATCCAGCCACCCAGTAAACATTTATAGGTCCTGCCAGGCCCAAACCCACAGATGTCCCCTTGACCTCATTCCTACCTGCTCTGAGCAGGTGCACAAGCCGCCTGCCTCCTACTGTTCCCGTGGGTTTTCTATCTACTTGAACCATCTCTGGCTTAATACAGCAGCTGCTGGGCCAGTGATTGAGTGAGTGGAGACAACCACAAATTAATAGCAGTAAAAATGAGGGAAAACAAGGTTCACAAGGTGGAAGCAACCTGAGTGTTCAACAGATGGGCGCCTACAATCCCAGCACTTTGGGAGGCCATGGCGGGCAGATCATTTGAGTTCAGGAGTTTGAGACCTGCCTGACCAACATGGTGAAACCCCATCTCCACTAAAAATACAAAAAATTAGCTTGGCATGGTGGTACATGCCTGTAATCCCAGCTACTCAGGAGGCTGAGGCAGGAGAATTGCCTGAAACCAGGAGGCGGAGGTTGCGGTGAACTGAGATCGCATCATTGCGCTCCAGCCTGGGTAACAAGAGCGAAACTCCGTCTCAAAAAACAAAAAAACAGATAAGACAGATGAGTGTATAAGCAATATATGGTTCATCAGTATAGTGTAGTAGTATCAGCCATGTAAAGGAGTGAAATCTGATGCATTCTTCAATATGATGAACCTTGAAAACATCACACCAAGTAAAAGAAGCCAGACCCCAAATGACAAATACGATGTGATTCTACCATTTGA